GAGGGGCAGTAGATACTTGCCCCTCTCACTAACCCGCCATCATATCTATCCTAGAATTCCTTTCATTAGAAAAATATCCTTGGTATTAAGGAATTGCATTCCTAGAAGTCTCAGTTAAGCTGAAAATGGTATGCCACAGAAAGAACTCCATAAACCATAATTCCATTGGCTTGACATGGATGAGTTTATTAGACTGAATTCAGTGAACACCTCTTTGAGGACCTAAGATTCACAAAGATCTGTCTGGGTCTTGAGAGACATGTAGATGGATAAGGCACATTGCCCTTAAGCATGTAGTCTAGAAGGGAAGACATGGGCATCACACTGACTGTAACACCAGTCCTAGAAACAAGAAAGTGCTAGACGGACACCATGGAGGGAACAATTCTGAAAGAAGGCTCAACAAAGAGGGTGACATTTAGTTGGGCCTAGAGGAACAAGAAAGTATAAGTAGAAATTCTGCAGTTAGAAGGGATGAGGAGGCGATTGAAGAAGAAAGAAGTATTTCACCAAAAAGGAAGAGTGTGACCAAGGGGGGGACAGAATGAATCTCTATGGTGTATTGGGGGGATTATTAATATTCCAGTGTGATTGCAGTAGATCCTATATATGCTGAAGAGGAAAGGTCAGGGAGTCGGGGGGGAGGAAGGATGGGGAGTGGTTGTTCAAGCAGTAAGTGTTAGCCCAAGGAGTTTCTTCTTTACCACAAATGGAACTCATTGAAGGTTTATGACCCAAGAACTTACAGTGACCATAATTGCTTTGGTGTAATAACAACTACGTTCATACATTTCTTTGTGATTTGTAGAAGGAGGATTGGTGGCAATGTGAGAATAGATTGGAGAAGAAAAAGGCTGAAAGTAGAAAAGCAGATATGGAACTGTTCAGGTGAGTGATGGTGGGAGGTGAATCTAAGGAAGAGATGGTAGGTGTGCTAAATTGTCTCCATTTGTTCTTCCAGGTTTATTCTCCATCTTTTTCCATCCAGCTCTCCACCCTTTAGGATGGATCAATTGCTTCAAATGGGCTCGCTTGCCCTTTGGCTTCATTGGGTTTGGCCAATGAGTGGCACTGACAGGAGACAATGTGGTAAGAAAGAGAGGTCAGAGTATTTATCCTTCAGTTCTCTACCTGCTGGGCCACAGTTTGTTTTTTCCATTAAAGGCTACAGTTTCTGTCCTGGGCCCTTTCCTTGAGATATTGTATTTGCTATGTCTCAATAACCACTCCCTCCCATGACATTTTAGTTCCAGATGCTCAAATGACAACTTGCTGTTGTGTGTAAACAGCCTCTTTATGAATCTCTCCTCACTTACTACCATCTGAGTGAGCTGTTTCCTTCTGGGACCCTGACCTGCCCAGTGAGGACAGAAAGGAGGCAACAGAGAAGTGAGACCTGAGGAGGAAGGAGTGTTCATGGACCACATGGAGGTCTTTGGCTTTGGCTACTGGGAGGATGGGAGTTTGATGGGAAGGAGAGACCAAGGATTCAGTTTCAGTTTGAAGTGTCTGTGCAATATGGGAATAAGCCTAGTAGAGCTGGAAATGTGAGTCTAGTGTTCAAGAGAGAGATCAGAGCTGGAGTTATTGAACTGAGAATCTTCAGAGTAGAATGATAGTTGAAGCCCTAGGCATGGACAGGCTTTCTGAGGAAGAGAGAGAGTGAGGAAAAGATTGCTGACTAAACTCCTGGCAGAGTTGACGACTGAAAGGGAGATGAGGCCCAGAGAGATAGAGCAAGAACATGCCTCTAAGTGACTGAGATGCCATCGAGGGAGATTGTATGGGGGCAGGGCTCTACTCAGTGTTAGCCCACATAGAGACACACACTGGGGTCTCTTGAGCAGATGGGGGAGGGTAATGAGGGCAATGGCCCACTGGAGGCCACCACCAGCTAACAGGCGACCTGAGAAATGGGAGCAAAATTTGAACTTAGTTTACTTCATGTGCCCAGTGTTTCAAATCTTTCCTGCTTTGGTTATGTGGGTCAAATATGGAGGCTTTATGATTTCAAATTCCCATAGCATCTTTTTTTTTTAAGATTGGCACCTGAGCTAACAACTGTTGACAATCTTCTTTTTTTTTTTTTTGCTTTTTCTCTTCAAATCCCCCCAGTACATAGTTGTATATTTTTTAGTTGTGGGTCCTTCTAGTTGTGGCTTGTGGGACGCTGCCTCAACATGGCCTGATGAGCCATGTCTGCACCCAGGATCCGAACCCGCGAAACTCTGGGCGGTGGAAGTGGAGCACGTGAACTTAACCACTTGGCCACAGATGGGGCTGGCCCCCTCGAAGTGCTATAGCTTTAAATGTGGTCTCATATGGTCCAAGAAAAAAGCAGGAAGTTCAGTGAAAGAAATAAATGGCAACGGGAAATATACTCATTCATGTGGAAAAACTCTAAAAGGAGCACAATGCTGGTCCTGTATTATAAATGAGAGAGAAGTCTAAAGGAAGCAAGTGTAATCATGGTTTCAGCTGACATTTGGAATTACCCGTAGTCTTCTTTGTAATGTAAAGGGCAGAACACACCACTTCTGAATTTTACTGCTAACCACAGGCAGGGAGAGTGTGCACAGTTCCCTAGAGTTGTGGTTCTTGACCTTTTGAGGATAGTCACCGATCTTCATTGAAGAATTGAGGAAAGTTGTGGACTCCTTCCTTAGAAAAATGTATACTAACATACACACTTACACATACAACATACAATTGTAGGGGTTCTAGAAGGGACCTATGTTGTTAATTTTTTTACCCCCCGTGCCAGATACACAGTAGGTGCTCCAGAAATATTTATTAAGCAATTGAGTAAATAAATGAGTGAGACATTATGCTTACCCAAAATCATGGTCAAAATGCAAATATCTTAGGTAGGAGTAGATAAGCTTTTAGCACCCATTAATATGAATTCATTTACCATAGTGGTTTTCAACCCTGGCTGCATACAATCTTCTGGAGGAGGGAAAGCTTTAAAAAATGGTGGTGCCTGGGCCCCACCCAAGAACAATTGGCTGAAAACCTAAGGGTGTGGGGCCTGGGTCTCAGTATTGTTTAAAAGCTCTTCAGATGATTCTAAGGTGCAGAGAGGACTAAAGGCAATGTAGCAGGTTAAAAGCTGTATCATTTAGAGAGAGAAAGAATATGAAGATGGAGGGTATAGTAACTAAGCTGTCATGGAGGAATCAGGAACCATAATAAAAATGAAAATCTCTTGCAATTACACAGTACATTACATCTCGCGTCATATGCACGATCTCATTCATTCCCCAAAGATACACTGACTGTTAAGCCAAGCAGGCACTGGGGACCTTTCTGAGATCAAAGCCAGGTTTGTCTATGCAAACTCAGATTTTCTGAGTTGAGTACATTGTTTTTTTAAATTTTGCCAAACTGCCTCATCGAGGAAGAGAACAGGGGTTCCCAGCCGTGAAGAGCACAACGCAGAAGGTCTGGCGTGGGGTCTGGGAGTCTATTCTTTTACAGGCGCTGCTGCTGATTCCATTGCAAGGCCAGGTCTAGAGCAACAGCTCTGAACTGGGGGTGGGGTGGAGGAAGGGGGAGCAGAGGAGGCACCTCAGTCAGAATTACCTGGGGAGATTTTTCAAAAGGGACATACATGAGTCCCACCCCAGACCCATGGAATCAGAAGGCAGGGGTGATGAGAGTGAATACACAGAAAATGCTTGATTCTGATACCACTTTCACCTCCCCTCAGAACCAACACACGTGAAACACTTCTTGGTTGTCCAGCCAGGTTGTCACCGGGGTCATTGCTATGATCGCGACCCTTGACCAGCCAGAGGACTGAGTCCTGCGCAGGGACTGGCTTGAGGGGGACAGGGCGTGGATTAGATACTGAAAGTATGTAGGAGGTTGTTAGGGCAGGTGGAGATGACAAAAACAAGCTTCGCTCGCTTCACAGTTTTGCCCAGGGCTGGCACTGGTACAGAGTTACTAAAGCTAAGCTTGGAGGGACAAAAACAGAGCAGTTTCCAAATCACTTCTGTTTTCCCCTTACCTCAGGCACATATGTCAACCCTGAAAGTGCCAGGTGCCCGTCTCTGCCGTGTGTGGCACGTGAAAACACCTGAGTGAAACCACGGTCAGGGCAGACAGAAACCCCTCTCGCAAGGATGCTGCAGCAGTTCAGCAAGGGGGCCCCTATTGGGCTGATGGGAATAAACAGCAGGGATGTCTGTGTTGGGCATCCAAAGACAGAATGGGCCAGCAAGCTTGTGGAAAGGATGCCCAACACCACTCGCCTCTTAAGGACGGAACAGATCGCTCTGAGTTAATCAGTCCCCTTGAAAAGAGAAAGCACCTAATAAATGAGAGCTACGGTCAATATTTCTCCTTCTTCTCAGCCTCCCCCTCTTTAGACGATCGATTTCTGGGGCCCATTCTGATTTCTTTGTCTGTGTGTGCTGATACAGATTCCTTTTTGGGATCGTGAGGCAGGGTCATGAGCCACTATTTTCACTGTTCGGCGCAGAATTCAGGGTCACCTGCAATTACTCTGCTTTGGAGGATTTAGAAGGAAAAAGAGAGTCATGGTCCAGAGACTTTGAAGGGATTTTCCTAGTAAGTCTTTGAAAGTTTATCCCGGTGCACTGTGAGCCAGTAGCAAGCACTGAGATAGAGAGAGAAAGAGAGAGAGGGGGAGAGGTGTGTCTTTGTGTGTGTGTGTGTGTGTGTGTGTGTGTGTGTGACAGCCAAGGCAGGTTCTCCCTGATATTCTATCACTCCTCCCCCTCTTCATCTTGGCAGGGTTTCTTCTCTACAACTAATGCCCCCAAGTCCTCTGAAGTGACAGTTTTCCTGTTGCCCCTGTGGACGTGAACGTAGGGGAGGAGGGCAGCATGAATCTTACCTGCTCTGTCATACATATAAACCCCTTACCAGTGCTGGGGTTGTACCTTTTTTAATCTCTCCCTTCAGGTCTGACATACTCAGAGAATTGTTAACATTGCTTTACACCATTAAAACTTGAGACAAGTCCTCACCTGGACTGCCCAGTGGAGAGCTGTTTTAAAGTCTTTATCCACCAGGGTGGGGTTTGCCCCCTTCTTCAGCAGCATTTGGGTGTGTTGAGGCCGGTTGTGGAAAGCTGCCCAGTGGAGTGGTGTCATCCCCTACAAAACCATAAGCAGAGGGGGTGGAGATGAGCACGGTCTATTAAAAAGGAAAATGCAGCACACACTTTCTCCTCAGGCCCAAGGGCCACCACCAGATACGTCAGTTGCTGCCTGTCAGTTCATTTATTCCTCAAGCCATTCATTCAACCGACATTTACTGAGCTTCTGCTTTGTGCCGGAAAACAGGTGTTAAGGATACCATAGTGAGTGAGATAAACCAGATCTTTACCCTCATGGGAATTGCACTGTGGTAGAGGAAGACAGACAATAAATGCTCACAAACAAGCCAAAGGATTTTCCAGATTGCTGAATGCTATAATGAACGCACATGGGTGCTGTGAGAAAGTCACCGCCGGGGAGGAACTGTTCCACTTGGGCCTCTGCTAGCCAGGCTGGGGGAAGAGAACAGTAAGTACCAAGTCACAGAGGCAGGCACCTGTGCCTGGAGTCATACCAGGATGCCATCTCCCATCATGAGGGCAGGGACACTGTCTGTTTTAGTGCAGTATCCCCAGTGACTACATCAGAGTCTAGGTAAATAGCTGTTGAATGAATGCATGAATGAATGGACAGAGGAGAGCCATGACTGAAGGGGTTGTAGAGGGAGGCAGGGCTGATCCTTGGGAATGTGGGATGGGGGATACCGACCCTGCATAAGGCATTTAGATCTTATTCTAAAGTCAATGGAAGGACAGTAAAGGTTTTAAGCAGATGCTGACATGATCTGATTTACACTGTTTAGAGGAAATCACTCTGTGGCAGCTCGGAGAGCAGATCTGGATGAGTCAGCCTGTTGAGTCCCAGCTTCTTTCAGAGCTTAACATCACAAAGTTTAGGCACACTTTCATAACAAAATGAGTTTATGCTGGGAAATGGTAGCCAAAAAGAACTGGTATTATTTGGGAGTTACTGTGAAAAGATGGCCTCCTCTGTTGCCCACACCTCTCAGTTACATGAAATGTATCTAAAATGACTCTGGATTAAGACGCCTGGTAAAGGGGCGAAGGGCATAGGCAGCTTTAAAGCTTCTCTTTTTAGAGTCATCTCTGCAGATAACATAAAGATGGGAGTCACTAGCTTGGCCTTCTCTGCTCCATCCATGATGAGCTGAGTGGAGGAGCAGGGCCTCAGCCTAGTTAGGAGAGCACAGCTAATAACAGCCCAGAGCTAATATTTATTAATCAGGAGAACTTTATCAGTTTTTACGTATATTATCTCACTTACTCCTCCAGACAACATGCTGGGTTAAGTATTATGAAGAAGTCTGCTATGTGTTCACCAAACTTTATTTCCTCTTCCTCCAGGGCACATAGCTGGCTACATTCCCCAGCCTCCCAGCAGATAGATGTGGCCACGAGACTGAGTCCTGACCATTGCAACATGGACAGAAAGGACGGAAGGGACGGAAGCCCCCTCCAGGCCTCCTAGAAAAGAAAACCTATGTGGTCTACCACATCTTCTCTCTTTGCTCATCTGAAAATGAACGCAGAAGACAAGGCTTAAGAAGGTGCTGGAACCAGCTGATTCAAAGGCCCAGTACCCTGATTCATGAGGTCCAGCATTGGACTATGTTACAGGCAAGAAATAAGCATCTATTGTGTCAGTCCACTAAGATTTTGAGTTGTTTGCTACGGTAGTTAGTCAACTCTGACAGGTGCCAGTGTCCTTCTCATTTCACAGAAGAGGAAGCTGAGCTCTAGAGAAGTTCCCAAGTCTGTGAGTGAGCATGGAACCGAATCTAGGGTTTGAGGTTTGTGGGGCCCTGGGATTAGAATGCTAAATCCCCTCGACCAGTTCCATATTCTAAATCACTAAATTACGGTCTGCTTCCAAGTTTCAAGTGTCTTATAACACCGAGCATCCAGAGATATTCTTGAAGATATTTCAAAAAATTGATTCCACATGGAAAAGAATGCTAGTCTAAAAGCAGTGGAACTTCCTATTCTTATTCCAACAGCTGAGTATTTACTTGGGATTCAGAATAGCTCAATGCATTTCAGTGGGTCCTTTTCATTTTGAATTTGACCCACTGGAATTTGACATCTGAACTCATGGGAATCAGAATCTTTTTATTATGCATGGACTTCCCCATTCTAGTGCTGAGCCCCCTTTGCTTCAGAGTCATTGACTTCATCATGAAGTGCCAACAGTATCCACGGGTAAAGACATCAAAGACAATTTTGAAGTCACTGGAGTGTAAGCTCCATGAAGGCAGGGCCCTTGTTTGCCTGTCTGAATCCCTGGAGCCTAGAACAGTGCCAGGCATGTTGTAGATGATAAGTAAATACTTGGTGAATAAATGAGTGACTTCTCACTGTTCTTGATTGAATTTTTTTCTTTTGTAAAATTTGGCTTTGCTTTTTTTTTTTTTTTTTTTTTTAAATTTTATTTTTTCCTTTTTCTCCCCAAAGCCCCCCAGTACATAGTTGTGTATTCTTCGTTGTGGGTTCTTCTAGTTGTGGCATGTGGGACGCTGCCTCAGCGTGGTCTGATGAGCAGTGCCATGTCCGCGCCCAGGATTCGAACTGACGAAACACTGGGCCGCCTGCAGCGGAGCGCGCGAACTTAACCACTCGGCCACGAGGCCAGCCCCAATTTGGCTTTGCTTTTTAAAATCATACACACAAGAAAGAAAAGCAGAATGTGACTTCTTTATAGAAAATGAACTTGTCTGATACGGTCATTGTTACCAACTTGACAATTGAAACCTGTTAAAATTCTTGATGAGTGCTCCAAATGAGGTAGGTGGCAATCACCATATGCAGAGATATGATTTAACGATATGATAATTCAGTGTGAAAGTGTAGTTGTGAACTAGACCGTGAGCATGCCATGTTATTCCTTGTCTCCTAAACACAGTTGCTAGGCTTCAGGAGTTATTCTCTTAAAACAAAAACAAGCCTCCCTCCTCCCCCACCAAAAAACACCCTAACACTAGCATGCTTTGGTAAAAGATGGGGTGGGGAGGAGCACTATCATTTTTTGTATACCTACTGGGTGCCAAGAGCTTTATATATGTTACCTTCTCGAATCTTTACAACAATCCTAAGGGGTAGGTATTTTTAGGACCATTTTACAGGTGAGGAAACTGAAACACAGACAGGTTAAGTAATTTGCTTAAGGCCATTGACTGGGGACATGGCAGAGTTGGGAGTCAGATCCAGGTTTCTCCAACTCTGGAGAAAAATGCTCTCCATACATTATGCTGGTAGACTTTCATTTTGGAAATGAGGTCAGGTGCTGGAAAATTCTTTTCTTTGTGATTTTAACTGGATTCAAGGTCTTCTCACTTTCTAGAATGGTGGTTTTCACTAGGGTAAGGGTTGCCACCCTATATTGTTCTTTGTTTCATTTGGCATCACCTCTAGGCTCCTCTTAAAAGAAGAGCTGGCAAGTATTTATTTTTGTAAGGTATTGAAATATATCGACTCCCACCCTGGAGTTTGGAATCACTGTTAGAAATAACTGTTGATCCTCTGAATGACCCCAGATCAAGACTTGAATTGCTCCATTACTTCTCTAAATAATAATATATATTACTATATATATTACATATAAGTATATCATATATTTATATTACAATATAAACATGTTGCAAACATTCAGTCAAATCAAGGGAAACTTCCTGTTGCTATTTTTCTCAATTGGGCTAATGAGGAATAAAAATAAATTCTCTTAGAGTTAGTAATATGAAAACCAAAGTTTCAAAATCAGCTCAAGTGCAGCTCTTGGTATTGCACAACACACTTAGTTTAGGAACTTTTTCCTGCAACTGCCTCCTTCTCCTTCCTGCGGATTCTGTTGGGCCGGCAGTCATTGTAGTTGTGTTATGTTAAGGCTCGTGTGGCCTCTTAAGGGGCAGACTTCAGGCTTGGCACTGAGAGTTGACAGAGATCATGATTAAGCTGTGATGCACTGAAACACAGAGGCTGCGGCTTATTCACTGAGGTATGCCCAATGCGCAGAGCACACAGTAGGTGTTCAAGAAATGTTTACAGGAAGAACTATCTAGTGAATTGCAGGTTGTCAAAGCTCCGTTGGACTCATGGGGAGTATAAAATACCAGAATCTGTCAAATGCAAGCCAGTCCTCTGTGTCCAAACTGTGGTGACCTTTCCTACCAGTTCCTTCTTGAGTTTCATTGAGGGCTCAGTGGGGCCTTCAAAGCATCTTGGGGCTGAAAATCTAGAAGTCACTTGCAGACATATTGCAACAAATATCTAGATGTCCCTGGTGATAGAAGAATTCCCTTTTTTGTTGAAAAACAAGAAGTATTGACTCAAAGACTGAAGTGTAACTCACATTCATTTAAGAACACATCTCTTCAGAATGTTTTGAAGGGAAATGTTTACTTTTAGTTGACTTAGGATCCATTTCTAGACTGCTGATAGGCCCAGCTGTATGTCATAGCTGTTGGGTGCACAGCAGCCTTGCTTTGGAAGAGCGCTCTTGTACAGATGAGTAATTCCTTGCCTTGGGCCCGAGCCACCGAAATTTCAGTTAAGGGCTTACAAGTCCTATCAGCATCTCAGAACTTTTTTTCCAAAACCACTGTAACTTTTGTGTTTTATGAACCAGAAATCTGATTAAGTGCTTAGCAGTTTCTGTGTTTCAGACCGGCACTTGCAGCCCAGATCTAGCAGACCCTGAAAGGCACAGAGAGAAAAATGTGTGATGTGGCTGGGGGGTTGGTGCCTCCTTCGTCTTAGTGCACTGGGGGAGAGAATTATAGCAGGTGGCTGAGAGATCAGCAAAACAATTCTAAATCCTCTGAAGGATCTGGAATTTCGCAGAAGTCCAGTTTGGCTCTGGTGGACATTTTAAACATATGACCACCTCTCACAAAAGTTATAGAGGGTCTCCTGCGGACAAAAAATTGGAATAAATAATGGGCTTTAAAAGATTCTTTAAAAAGTAGAACGTATTAGAAGTGCAATAATGAAAGCCATTTTCTTTAATTTTTATTTGGAAAAAATCTTACAGTTATAGATCACGAA